ACCATGAGATCATTACCTAAGCCCAAGTTGGATGCTTAACCAAACAAGCCACCCACGTGCCCCTACATCTTTTTATTTTGTGCTTCGCTTGACTGATTTTAGATATATTTCTGCATTTGTACTTCCTAGGTTCTTTTTTTTTTTACTCTTAAGGGTTTTGTTTTCCACTCATAGATTTCCTACTTCCCTTTCTTAAAGGCTTGTTTAGTGGTCATGAATTCATTTAACTTTTGCTTGGGAAACTGTCTCCCCTTCTATTCTGAATGATGACCTTGCTGGTTAGAATATTCTTGGCTGCAGGTTTTTCCCTTTTTGCACTTTGCATATATCTTGCCACTCCCTCTGGCCTACATTTCTCCTGAAAATTGGCCAATAGCCTTATGGGATTTCCTTTGCATGTAACTGTCTTTTCTCCTGCAACCTTTCAAATTCTTTATTACTCCCTCCTCCTCCTGCCCAATTTACTATCTATGTGTCTTGACATGGACTTCCTTGGGTTGATTTTGTTGGGGGCTCTCTATGCCTCCTGAATCTAAATCTCTGTCCCTCTCCAGACTGGGGAAGTTTCTAGCTTTTATTTCTTCAAATTTTCTGCCTCCTCTTTCTCTTCTGGGATTCCTATAATGTGAATGTTATTAGGCTTGATCGTGTCACTGAGTTCTCTAAGTCTATTCTCAATATGCAGTATTTGTCTTTCACCTGTTCAGCTTGATTGCTTTGCATTGCTTATACATTTCTCAGCTTCCTGTAGCCTACTGTTTATTCCGTCTATTGTATTTTTATGTATTGAATTTGTTATCTCTGATATGTTTTACCTCTTTGTCAAGGGTCTTAAAGATTTCCTTCACCCTTTTCAAAAGTCCAGCGAGTATCTTTATGACCATTACTTTAAATTCTGAATCAAACATTGCTTGTTTCACTTAGATCTCCTACTGTGATTTTGTCCTTTTGTTGGGGATATATTCTTGTCTCATTTTCTCAACTTTTTCTTTGTTAGAGAAGTTAGCTCTATCTTATGCTTTTCAAAGCGGTGACTTTATGAAGTAGAGGTCCTACAGTCCTCTGCATTAGTGTCCCCATTCACCAAAACCTGGAACTCAGGTGTGTTGCTTGCATCCTGCTATTTATTGTGTCTGGGTTGCTTTTTAATCCAGACGTCTGCACTAACTCTGCCTGTTGTGGGCTCTGCTTGCTCTGTGTGGTGTGACACCCAGGCAGCAGTGTTGTCTAAATTTGTGCCGAGCTGCTAGTCCTCAGTTAGATCCCCCAAAGGGTGGTGGTCATCTGGGGCATGTTGTGTGGTGGCCGGGGGCACAAAGCATTATGTGTGTGGTGTCAACAAAACTTGCACTGAGGCCAGCAGTCTTGGAGTGGGTAGGTCCCACTCCTAACTGGTTAGGTAGCAAGAATCTGTGCAGGGCCACCTCCTGCAGGTGGCTTTGTATTTATGCTTGGGGTATGGGGGGAGGAAAAAACTGAACCTGCAGGCTACTTTGTTCCTAGAGAAGGAACATGCTCCCTCCTTCCTGTCTGCTCCACACATTGTGTAAAGTGTGAATTCTGTGGTGCTTCTCCAGGAGCTGCTGTTTTTTTAAGGGCAGAGACCCAGCTATTAGTTGCCTTCCTTGGTCCAGGGCTGAGTCAGCTGACTTTTTAAGTTCTAGGCTCCAGGTCTTGCTTATTACACAAACTCATGGTATTCAGTGCCTTTGGTTTTCAAAACCAGTCATTATGGGGATTCTTCTTCCCCATGTGGGTTCCTAGGTGTTTTCCCTGGTCTGTACCTGCAGCTCCCTCTCCTAAGGCAGCTCCTGACCACCATCTTCCTTTCCTAACCTCTCAAATGTGTCTGCCTCTCTACATTTAGTTGTGGACTTTGTTCTTCCAGTCTTCCAGTTTGCTCTCTCGTTTATTTACTCAGATGTGAATGATCTCTAGTTGTAACATGGGACACAGTGAACCTAGGAACTTCCTACTCTACGGTCATTTCTACTTAGTGATTAGGTCACTCTATGCAGAACATTAGTGTCTTCATTTTTGCTTCCTCCATTTCCTAAATACATCAAGTCTACTACCAGGCCTGCTCTATTTCCTCGGATGCCTCTTTACTACTGTTTCAAAAACTAATGGTTTTAACCCTGAATGCACATCTGAAGCACCCTGTAAAATCTGTAAATCCATATTAATATGGATGCCCAAGCCTTAGCACTAGTAATATCAGTCTTTGGGTGTGGGGGCCATATCATCAGTATGCTTACATGTCTTCCCAGGTAATTCAAATGTACAAATTGAGTTGAGTAGCACAGAAGCAGAATGTGCATTCAGTGGTTCTCAACTGGGGACAGGCTTGTTGGGATAAATTTGGGGCATCTTGTTAAATTTTTTTTTCAGATAAACATTTTGTTCCTTCCCCCATCCTTCCCCTCAATCTGGCAATGTTTTCAGATATTTCTGTCATAACCAGGAGTTGCTACTGGCATCTAGAGAGTAGAGGTCAAGGATGGTGCTAAACATCTTACAATGCACAGGACAGCTCCCACAGCAATTACCGGGTTCAAAATGTCTATAGTGTAGAAGCAGATAAAACCTGCTTTGGAGCAACATGAGAACCAGTAGTAAGAAGAGGAAATAGATTTGGAACTAAAAGCAGCATTCTGTTCAATATAATCCTTACATTTAATGTTACAAGGGACAGAAGTCCAAAAAAGAAATGGAAAGTTTTACATTTGAAGCCAGAGAACTGTTTGAAGTATAGTACCTGTAATTGAAATTTTCAGATAGGTTTCAGTACATTTTCAAAGAAATTCAGAGCATGCAGAGTTCAATAGAATGAAATTCGAAGTTTCTTTATCTATGAAATGTGGCAACAGTGTTAACCTGAAAGTCTTTCAGTTTAAATTCTGCAACTCTTTGATATTTTTAATCACTTAATAAACTTCTTGACAATGACCAAGAAGAGCCAAAACAGAAACATATATATACACATACATATATATATGTAAAACACTGGAATCACTCCAAATTCCAGTGCTGGGTTTTAATAACTAGTTGTGTAACCTGATGCATGCTCCAACAGGTTCCCATTTTGTCTATTATAAAATGAAGGATGTAGGTCAGATGATTGGAATGACCCCTTGCTACAGTTAACTTCTGTAGAAAAATTCCTATTTTTCAGCGACACGTCTAAATTTCAATGGCTCAACTTTATCCATCTTAAACATAAATTTGCTATCTTATAAAATAATTTAATGGATTTCTTTATGGGGTCCTGAATAAGTAGAAATGATCAAACTGATACCTATGTTTCCTTATTGCAGTACATATTTACCGGTAAGTCTCATGGATTATAGTTCCCCAAACTGAATCTTACCATAACATTTCAGGAAAAATATTTTAACTAGCTGTCACTGCTCCTGATGTAGTTTCTGGAAATTCTGTTACAAAGCAAGATGATAAAAGGCTCCCTGGCACTGTGTATCCTAGCCCATATACAATACAGAACCACAGCCCGAGTATCCTTTTTAAGCAGCAGATGGCACTTCATTGTGAAAGCCTGTGTTATTTCAAGGGAACATGGCTCAAACAATGGTACAAGGTGGGAAATGCCTGAATAAGCAATATGCACATTAGAAACAGAGTGCTACAAGGCCATGGACCCAATAATTTTTTTTGTGTGGGAGCGGTCCTTTGCACTGAAGGATGTTTAACAACATCCCTGGCCTCTACCTACTAGATACCTAAAGTAGTACCCCTTCCATTTTGCTAAGTTTCCTATAAGGCAAAACTGCTCCAATTCAGAACCACTGAGAAGCCAAAAGCTATGCGAACAGATTTATAATTATACACGATAAGGATTAAATCTCCTATTGCTGAGTGAAAGAAGCTAGATGTGAAAGTGAACATACTATATATGGTTTCATACGAATAAAGCAACAAAACAGACAAAACTAATTTATGCAGCAGGCAATCCAGATAGTGGTTACCCTTGGAAGGAGCAGGTGAGGGGAAGAAGAGCCAGTAAGGTTGCCTTGATCAGGGTGCTGCTTACATAGATGAAAATTTATTGAGCACTTATGATAGGTGCATTTTTTTTTTTTTTGGTATATATACCTCAGTATTTTTCACAATGAATGAAAACTTTGCAGCCATTACTATTTGAATCATTAAGCAACACTTAGTTACATGTTAACTAAGCAGAGTTCTAAATCAAGGTGTGAACTAAAGTTTATCATATCCATGTGTTCCTTTTTAAATTGAAAAATACAGGAAAAAATCCATTAATTTATTTGGTAAAAGTTACTTGGTTCTTCTGAGATTGTCTCTATTCCTATAGGCAAAAAGCCCCACAAATCTAAGATGATGCTATGTTTAAAATGCTGTAAAAACAAACTCACAAATGAGGCATTTCTGTAAAGTACCGTAGTTTCTATCTCTTGCTAAAATGGAGAAATATATTTGATTTAGCTGCTGAGGTACAATTTTGTCAAAATACGTTTGTCTGCCTCAATCCAGAAGTCAGGGATTCTTTTTCTTTAGTATTTGAGATTCATATACTACTTTTATATATAAAGATATAGTATTATCCTTATTCTTTTCCTGTACAGACAGTACCTCATAGTAATACACTGGTACCCCAACCATTACAGGTAATAAATAAAATTTAAAGCTATACTGAATCTAGAATACTCAACTGCATTTATTTAAAAAACACATCTTTTAAAAGAACTAGATCTTAAAAATATTGCAGTGAAAAAACCAGATTATCATAACCAAATGTGTGATTTATTTTTAGAGAAAAAGTTTTTTTTCCAATAAAGGGAAGAAATAACAATATGAGATCATGTCCTGATAACATGTTAATTACCACATTCCATAGAACGTGGATGTGATCAACATGTATTCAATGATATGAACATTTGAGATTTAAAAATCACAGACCACTTGCCAATGCTGTAATTTCATAAATGCTGAAATAAATACCTAGAAATAAATTTTAAAAATTCAAGCCTTTGAGTGTTTATAGATCAAACCCAATGTTATGTACAAATAGTACACCCAGTAAGTTGACATTGCTGTTAGTTTCCACCTAATTTCTTCATAATATGGCTGTCTGGTGTTGCGTTAGTGAAAATACTTCCCACAAACACATGGGTACCCCAGAGACTATGACGAATCACTTTACAGCAGCCAAGATCATCCACAGAGAATCCTAAATGTCGATAGCGTTCATCTGTTTCAAAGAGAGTGTTGTTTGTATATGGTCCAAAAAACTGGAGGAAATAAAAATCACATTCATTAGCAAGAAAGACAGTGATGTAAGTTTTCATGCAAACACGAATACATACTTATTTTAACACTCCAAATATTAAAAAAAAAAAATCAAGAAATACAAAGGGTAGTTTAGGTATTGCATGTGACCACATAAAATTAAGTCTTTCATTTCTAGTCTACATTGCATGTTACTCGACTTTGAAAGTGGTTTTATTACCTGTAACTGAAAGATACAACCAGAATTTAAAATGTGACCACAATAGTGGTTCTTATTTTTTTTAAAGTATTATTTCAGAAAAGTAACTTTTTGGAAGTTAACATTTGTAAATATTTAGTAACACCCATATTTTAATTCTAAAAAATTTTCTTCCTTAAGCTATGTTAATCTGTAACTTCCAAACAGTAAACACACTAATTCATTAATGTAAATCAAATAGTATTCATTAGGGTAAAAAATAATAAATTGTGAGGTTTAAAAAGTCTTAATCTATTTTTACTAAAGTGATACACAATTTTATATTGTAAATAATTTTATAATAAAAAACATTCCTACTTCAAATTAATCTGGCTTTCAAAATGTAATTACTCACTGCCACACCAGATGATGGGTCAATAAAGTCAGCCCAATAGCCTTCAGCTCGAAGAGCATAGCAAATTTCCTTAGCACCATTAATGAACTGCATTAAAAAAGACACAAATATGCTGAAGATAGCATCTCTACAAGTTTTATTTTTTAACAAATTTTTAAATATTTTTTGCTTCAAAGAATTAGTCATAAGATTTTTACCAGCTCAAAAGATTAATGGTTCATTTAACACTTTCGTTTCCTTCAAAAAATCTAAATTGTGTATTTTTCTTCAAAATTATTTCCTGTTTCATGAACAACTTCTAATCTGTGCTATTAACTCCCAAATTTGTGATGAATTAGAAAAGGAAAACAAAATATTCATAATGAAAAGAACTATTCATTCATGTATTTAAAAACATGTGTCTTTCAAAAACACATCTATCCATACTCATGGTCATGATACACATCATGATATATCTTTCTGTATTTTTTGTACAGGACATAACTATTACAGACCATGTGTCTGTATCTCCTATTCAAAATCCTTATCTTCCATCCTCATTTTTAATTCCTATGATGTTGTTATTAGGTTTATCAGACTAAGCAGTGAAAAAGACAGTAATAAGTATTAGGATCAGATCAGAGTACTAAGAAAAAAAAGACAAACCATAAATGTTTAAAAAGCAAGGGCACAGTTCCACTTTTGGCCATAACAAATAATAGATATCAAACGTTATCTGCTGTTTGGTAAACACCTGCTGAAAACTGTAAAACTGACTGAAACATAAGATACGACAGTTTTAAATCCTGAACAATAGTTAAAACTGTAATCTTGTGGAGAAGACCAAGAAGTTAGGTGATCCTCATATTTGTTCTAGCTCTCTGTCTGGAACACTGTTCCAGGGCAAAGGAGAATATCCCAAGCAAGTGATGGTGTCACTAAGCTAAAGAGGTAGAAAGCCAAAGTTTTGGACTGCTGAAGCATCTGGAATTTGTGGTTTTGAGCACTGGAAGGTTCTAAAGCGGTCCACAGAGCAATTCACCCTGATTCAGTAGCCAGGGGTAGAGCTGTGTACTGACAAGGTGAGATTCCTTGAGGAGTCTGTCTCATAGAGAGTGCCAGCTGGGGCCTGAGAACTCAGTGGCGGTATCAGGGGTTGTGCAGTCCTAAGTAATATGGATTTCTGGCCCACGCAGGATGATTGGACCTTGCTGAGCACATCTGGCATTCAGCTGAGATGCCCAAAAGTCTAAGCCTTAGGAAGATGGGCCGTAAGAGGTTAGCAATTTAACAGCCTGAAGGACAAATCCAGCTGGGTGCCTGTATGTGTAAGTACAGTTTCACTGGAATATGTCCATATCTGTCTGTGGTTGCTTTAACGATACAAAGGTAGAGTTGAGTAGCTGAGACACTACGACCTATGAAGCCTGAAAATAAAATTTATATGTGGCTCTTTGCAAAAAGTTTACTGATCCATGCTACAGAGGAAACAACTTAAGCTAATTACTTTCTCCTAGCAGTTTCTTATAAAATAATGAAAAACATTAAGATAAAATTGTATTCCTTAGGTTATTTTCATACTTAATATTTACACATATTGCTGCATTTCATTAATCTTCATAATTCTTACAAATAGGAAAACTACTGAATATGGTAATTAGAAAGTACATCGATTTAATGAAAAGTCCATCAATTTAATGAACAGATCTGCCATATAGAAACCCACAAGAACAAAACAATTACAAATGTTTGTAAAAGTTAACTAAAAGAATCCCAACTTATCACAAAAAGAACCAGTTTAAGTACTTCTCTTAAGATTTCTGCTCATCAATAGGAAACATTGACATCTGGTGGAAAAAAAACTACAATAGATTTTAAAGAACATAAAATATCTACTGGTCAACTACATAGTGGTTCTAAAATAATCACTAATATGAATAAAATAGAAAAATCATTTTTTTCATAGTAAATAGTTTTAATTATTATAAAATTAAACATAATATGACATTTCAAAGCCCTGAAATTGGTTACAAAAAACTCAGAACTATAGTGGAGTCAGTATCAAATGAGCCTCAGAATCTTTAACTGATTAGAAATTAGGACCAATAATTCAATGCACATGTGAGAGCTCTCTAGTGACTAAATGATAGTAATGGTAAATGTATATATTAGTAAAAACTGCCTTAATATGTAAATAGAAAATGTCTGAGTTATTGCCTATTTAAATTTCAACTCTCTAAATTCAAATCTCTTTAAAATCCAATAATGTCTTAAGGCCTGGCTTCTCGGTAACTTCCTTGTTAATTAGCATATAACTTGCTCATGATTATTACTGCATAGAATTTAATTAGCAAAGCTATATGTGGGACATTTTAATATGAAGTCATTATCCTAAAACATTCTGTTGACTATGTAAATTATAATTTACTAATGAAGAGAACCATACATCCAGTCATAAGGAAAATATAATTACTAATTTCCATGTAAGATATTAGGAAAGGGAATTTTTTCAATTATAGTTAGCTAAGGTGCCTATGTGAGTTAATCTTGACTTGTCACTCAGGCAAAGAAATGTTTTCCTATCTTGCAGAAACGGATATGACCAAACATCAAATTCTTAAGAGAATTATATAATTTTTAAATATAAGACTTTAAGTTACCATTTACCATTTCTTAGGTTGGTGAAAATGAAAAGAAATGTTAACATCCAGGGTAAGCTAGCGTGACAGGATGTACAAGGACAATCTTTTTGGTGGGCAATTTGGCAGCATCTATGAAAACTTAAATCTATAGACTCCTACATAGGGAATTACTGAATCCGGGGGTAATTTAAGTGTGTGCATAAACATGTATGCACAAATATATTCACTGCCTATAACAGAAATAGTTTTTTAAATTTATAAATTACTAAGGGAATTTTTATAGTAATTAAAAAAACTTAGTTTGCCCATGCAATAATACTATGCAGATTTTACATAGTATGAAAGCTATGTGTAATACACTGGAATGGTGTCAAAACCTCTAATAGCAAAGGACAGGAAAAAATACAGGTATATAATGTTATCACTGTACTGTATGTGGTTACTGATCACTCCTGACATGCTTTAAGGAGAGATATGAAGAATTTTACGTTTTTGCCATTTTTACTGTATTTTTCAGTTTTCCTAAAACATACAGATTTTTAAAAAATGAAAAAAGTACTGGACAGAATTTAAGTTTTTCAAAGATACTACAAAAAAGTCATGGCATTTTTATTCTCAGAAAAGATGTAAAAGTCCTTTAGTACTGAAATACATTAGCAGAGAATTAATAAAGGCTAAATAAACAAAGGCTAAAAAGACACCCACCACCTTAAAATGGGGGTTCATTTGTACTTAAATAAGATTATAAAACTGTCAGCAATTGAGAGAATTGCCTTTTTAAAAAAATTTTTTTAATGTTTATTTTTTGAGAGAGAGAAATCCCAAGCAGGCTCCATGCTCATGAACTATGAGATCATGACCTGAGCTGAAACCAAGAGTCAAGACACTTAAACAGACTGAGCCACCCAGGAGCCCCAAGAATTACCTTTTCTAAAAGCATTTCTCTTTCATTTTCTACCTCTTCACTCCAAACAGTCATATCATTCTTAGTTTTCTGTGTTATAGTCAGAATCATTAGTTTGTTGGTGGCTACTTCTGGAAACAGTGACTCAAAATCTATAAATAAGAAAAATTTCAGGGAGATTTTTTTTTTTTTTTTTAAGAAGCAGTGTATAAAAGTACTTCTTTAGAAAAATGGTGATTAGGTTAAATTATTGTGACACCAAGTTAGGTTTATAAATGCATACTATTTTTGAAAAGGATACTGAAATGAAGTTTTAGTTAACTTCAGCTCTTGTTGGATGAGCTGAAATATTACTATCAACAATTCTGAAGAGCAAGTAAGGTCATTATTGACCTTATAACCTTCAAAAAGGTTTATTATGATTTTTCTCAATATTACATATTAGCTCATGAAATTATAGCTATAATAATCAGGAGAATTACTTCAGGGAAAAAGTTATTAAAAATTCTATTCCCATCTACTGGCAGCATGAGGTCAGGGACTTTTGGAAGACCTGCCTTGGCCATGTAATCTTTTCTGGCCAGACACATTAAAGTATTAAGTTACAAAGTATTACAATCCCTACAGAATACATTAGCTAACACATTAGAAAATTAGTGACATTACCTAGTACACAGGAGTGTAAAAATGTTTAAAGCACAATATACCTCTTCGCAGCAATTCTGGACATGTTTGGATTGCACACTCTACTTTGGCATTTTCAAAGTAAGTTTCTGCACTGTTGATTTCTTGTTCAACAGGTGCATTGTTACCCTAAGAAGAATAAGAAATAGAAATAAAATCTGGAGTTTAAATAAAATATCTGCTCTATTATAAACTTCTCTGGAAAGGTTTTTAGAAATAATCCTAGTTAACTGGCATTGGGGTAATAGTGTTATATACTCAAACTTTTCTCTGTGATGAATAAAGATTTGAAAATTTAAAAATGACCATATATTAATATTCTAAGACTCAATAGAGTAGAAGTTGGCTAAGAAACTAAAATGCCACGACTATGTCTTACAAGGTTACCTTTTCTGATATTTACTTATCCTTTCTTTTGTTCTATAATCTGTAAAATGGGGAAAAGAGCACTAACTCACAAAATCACATGATTAAACATATGGCTTCTCCTACAGGATGAGGCTTTTGTTCAAGTGAAATTTACTGGGCACCTACTATACATCAGATACTATGACAAGAGCAGCGCCACAATGGTAAAAAAAAAAAAAAAAAAAAAAAAAAAAATTTAAAATCCTACCTTCACTCTTAGCTATCAAAGAGCCAGGGGAGAAGAAAACCAGCACTTATAACCAGTCAGAAAGTCTTCTGGCAGGATAAATAGGGAAGAAACTTGCTTTGCTGGGGGAAATCAGGAAAAAGTTGAAATCCTCATATTTGAGCTACAGGTTAATTAATGTGTATATGTGGTTTGTGAAGATGAGAAACTCAGGAGGAAAAAACAGTCCAGCAAGAGCTAAACAGTGCAAGCATATGCAATGGTTAAAGACAATGGTGCTTAAATATTTACTGATCACTTAGTGTATTTAAGTGTTTTATGTATATTTTCACATTTAATCCTTATAGCAACTTTGTGGGCTAGGTATTATCCCCATTTTACATATAAAAAAGTATTAGTTTTCTCAAGGTCAAAAAATAAGTGAAAGGCAGAGCTACCTTTAAGTCGAATTTATCCTATCTCCACAGTCCATCTCATTATAATGCCTCTAAGAATTGAGGAGAGATAATGCCAGAGTTCAAGTCCTCCTTATTAGTGAGAATGAAAGGACGCAAATAATTAAAAAGCTACATCAGAGATGGAAGCAATGTAATTCTGTCACTCTGTATGGAGATATGACGGAGAGGGGAGCCCAGTTTGGCAGAATTCTAATCTTGGGACAGTGGGAAAATGACTAAGTCACTTATATTACTGATAACATGGGAGGGCAAGTTCTCAGAGACAGAAAACAACCCAGTCTTAGACATATAAAATCTAGGGAATTTTAAAACGATAATGATGTTGGCAGGCAGACAGAAAAAGTGTCAGGGGAGGTCAACTGTCTTTAAATGTTAGGTTACCTGATATAAACCATAGTAATTATGAGGGGCTATTCCTTAATATTATGGCTTTGATCAAAAAGTCAGACTGAAACTATGCAGAAATTCAAAAAATAATAAGGATGAGGAGTTTGGCAGAAACTCTGAATTGCATGTAACTTTCCATTTAGGTGAGCAACAATGTAATACCAGTTTATTGTTTTCATTTTTTTTTTTTCTTTTAAAGTAAGCTCTACACCAAACATGGGACTTGAGCTCACAGATCCCCAGATCAAGAATTGCATGCTTTACCGACCGAGTCAGCCGTGCCTGCAATACCATTTTAAAAACTCATTTAAAAAACAAAAAACTCAAGTTGGTTTTTCTAAAAAAAAAAAAAAAACCCACTGATAAGTCTTTCTTTTTCAGTTTACTGTATCTGAAGGATTTCAGAGTTCTCAAGTTTTAAATGCCTAGAGGAGTATAAATCTAGTTAGAATTTGCTCCACATAAAAATTATAATTACGATTTCTAAAAATGAAAAACAGGGAATCTACACTTCTAGTAATATAGAAATAACTATATTTGAAATAAGCAGTTATTAAACACTATTTCTGAAAATTTACCTAAGAGATTTAATCTAATTTTTCTTTTTTTTTTTTTTTTAAGAGAGAGTGAGCAGGGGAGGGGCAGAGAGGGAGAATCTTAAGCAGGCTCTACATTGAGAGTAGGGCTTGAGATCATAACCCGAAATGAAATCAAGAGTCAGATGCTCAACTGACTGAGCCACCCAAGCAACCCTAAAGAGACTAATAGAAAGTAAAAAAAAATTATATAGTAAACATTATGTATGGAATACTGCCAAGTTTTTAAAAGCTATATATGTTGTTTTTGAAATTGTTGGAATTAAGCAGGTATTTTTAAAAATTTTCTTAATTCAAGTAATATGGTCACACTTATCAGAAATTAATATACTATTAATTAGAAAAACAGAATAAACGATATTAACAATTTACCTGAAATTCATTCACATACTGTGCCATCACAAACTCATGTCTTTCACTTGATAAAGGTTCTGCTAGAACATCAGGTAGAGTTTTATGAACCTGGCTTTTCTTCTGTGTCATAGTCCCATTGAGGTGACAATCAAAACCTATGTTCCCAGGAAGCTGGAATCTCTGATCCTGAGGTCCAAATGGCCCCATAGTTTCATCTGGCCATACTGTTCGAGAGCCTGAAGAGGAACAACAAAATGAATCCATTTTCTTAAGCGCACTGGTGGACTGAAAGAATAATCTTCTTTCAATTATTTTTTATAAAACCGACAGATCTTTGGAATTTGCTTCCCTGTGTGATTATAAATTAGTTGTGTGTCATTTTCAAAAAAAGTAACCAGTTTTCAGCACATAGGCAAGTCAATTCTAAGGAGAAGGATTTAATAAAGAACAGTAATCCATACTATGTAATGCCTAATAGTCAATAAAAAGAATATAGTAAATCTTTTTTTTTTTAATTTTTAAATGTCTTTATTTTGAGAGACAGAGAGCGAGCAGGGGAGGGGCAGAGAGAGGGAGACACAGAATCTGAAGCAGGCTCCGGGTTCTGAGCTGTCAGCACAGAGCCTGACACGGGGCTCAAACTCAAGAACTGTGAGATAACGACCTGAGCTGAAGTTGGATGCTTAACCGACTGAGCCACCCAGGTGCCCCAAGAATATAGTAAATCTTGGAAGGAGTCTGGGAAGACAGCAGAGTAGGAGGATCCTAAGCTCACGCCCTAACACAGAAACACCTAGGTAACAGTCATGTTGGTACAACTAAACCATGAAATAACCCAAAGACTGGCAGAACAGGCTCTGCATAGTTAATCATAGAAAAGAGGCCAATCAGAAAGGTAGTAGGGGCAGAGACTAACCACTAAGAGGAGAGACAAACACAGAGAAGGGAGATGCCCAGACCCCATACCAGGTTCCCCAGACATGGGGAACCTACACTAAGAAGACAAGTCCCTGTAACATCTGGCTTTGAAACTCAGTGCGGCTTAATTTTAAGAGTTTTTATAGTTAGTGGGTTTAGTTCTGGGAGAGCCAGAGGGTGATAGGAAACTGAGTTCCCATTCTTAAATAGAAAACATAACAAACAATCCCACTTAGATACAGCATAGAACCAGCAGTCTAAAAAGTGCGTGAGGTATACATGAAGATTTTTTTTTTTTTTTTTTTTTAAACAAATCTCAACCTGTGTTGAGGTGCTGGAGAAGCAATGATCTGTAGGAAACTTCTCTGATGCACAAGAGTTGGCAGGAGCAATTTCTCTCTCACTTCAGCCTAGATACCCAGACACTTGTAGGAACCAATGTGAACACTCTCCACAGAGCTTGCTAACACCATACGCTCACCCCTGCATTCTGATTTATTCCATTCAACCAACTCCACTGGGCAGGAGTCCCTGCAATGCAGCTCTGGTAAGGTCTCATCCTGCAAGCACCCCTGACAGTGACTATCATACTCCAAAGTGACTCTTGCCATGGGGAGTCGAGAAGATAACTACACACAACAGTGTGACAGACATCTCATCTGTTGGGTCACACCAACCAAAATAGCCTCTCAAACAAAACACAGAGAGAGTCCCCATGCAAATGGACTGAAAGTAGGCATCTGGACTGATTACTGATGCTGCCAACTATAGCTCTTCTCTGCCCCAAACAGGCTCTGAACAGGACAAGGACCAAACTCTGCTCACAACAAGCAAAATGGAAATCTGCAACCAAATGGAATGAAGGCAAATGCAGCTGAACCACAAGAGTATGGTGCACAAAACCCACATAAAAGACAATCTTAAAGTACCCAGTTCTGGAGAAGAGGGGACATTGTGCTACAAGGCACCACAAGATCTCTTCTTTATAAGGACATTACTTTCAAGTTCGAGAGATGTATCTTACTTTCCAAATACACAGGAACAAGCACAGAAAAACAAAAAGAAACAGGAATAGGTCCCAAATGAAAGAACAAGATACCAAGCAAAGAACTAAATGAAACGGAGATAAGCAATATGCCTGATAAAGATTTCAAGTGCTCATAAATATACTTACTGGACTTGAGAAAGACTGGAGCATCTCATTGAGACCTTCAACAAAGAGGCAGAAACTATATAAAGAACCAGTCAGAGATGACCCTATAACTGAAATAAAAAATACAGTATAGGGAATGAACAGCATTGTTGAGAAGGTAGAAGAATGCATCAGTGACTGAAAAGACAGGGTAATAGAAAGCAACCAAGTTGAACAAGAGATTAAAAAAAATAATAATAAATGAAGAAAACTTAGGGAACTCAATGACACCATCAAATATAATAACAGTTGTATTAACAGAGATCCTAGAAGGAGAAGAGAAAAAGGAATGGAAAATTTATCTGAAGAAATAATGGCCGATAACTTCACATATCTAGGGAAGAAAACAGAAATCTAGATCCAGGAAGCACAGAAAATACCCACAGCAAAATCAACCAAAGGAGGTCCACAACATGACATATAGTAATTAAAATGGAAAAAGGAGTGATAGAATTATTTTTTTTTAATTTTTTAATTTTTTTAAAATTTTTAATGTTTTCTTTATTTCTAGGAGAGAGAGAGAGCGCGAGCAGGGGAGGGTCATAGAGAGAGGGAGTCACAGACTCTGAAACAGGCTCCAGGCTCTGAGGTGGCAGTCAGCACAGAGCCCGACGCGGGGCTCGAACCCACGAACCGCGAGATCGTGACCTAAGCGAAAGTCGGACGCTTAACTAAGCCACCCAGGCACTCCGAATTTTTAAAGCTCCAAAGAAAATGGTTACATAAAAAAGAAATCCCATAAGGCTATCTGATTTCCAAGCAGAAACACTGCAGGTCAGAAAGGAATGGAATGATATATAAAGGGAATTCTTTGAGTGGAAAGAAACGGCCATAACATAGTGTAAGGAAATTAGAAAATAATCTTATAGGTAAATACAAACAATAAAAGTAGTAGATTACTTATAAAACCAGTATGGAGGTTAAAACACAAAAGTAGTAATATCAATTGTATCTATAAAAATCAGTCACTAAAATAAAAAATAAGTATGACATCACATACATAAAATGTGGGGGTGGGTAAAAACTTCATGCTTTTAGAATGGGTTCAAACATAAGTGACTGTCAATTTAATTTAGGTTGCTGTGCATATATGATGTCCTGTGTGAACCTAATGGTAACCACAAATCAAACACCTGTAACAGATGTGCAAAAAACAAGGAAATCCAAGCATATCACTAAAGAAAGCCAAAAGCCACGAGAGAGAAAGAGAAGAAACAGTGAAGAACTACAAAAACAACCATAAAATAACAAAATGGTAATAAGTACATACTAATTATTACTTTGAATGTAAATGGACTAAATGCTCCAATCAAACCAGTAAGGTGAGTGACTGAATAGATGAAAAAGCAAGATCAACCTATATGCTGTGTGAAAAGAGTTGGTTCAGACCTAAAGACACAGGCAGATTGAAAGTGAAGGGGTGGAAAAACATTACCATGCAAATAGAAGTGAAAAGAAAGTGGAAGAAGCAATATTTCTATCAGAAAAAAATAGACTTTAAAAGAAAGACTGTAAAGAGACAAAGGATACCACAAAGGGAACAGTCCAACAAGATGTAATAATTGTAAATATTTCTGCACCCAACATGAAAGTACCTACATACATTAAAAAAGTATTAGTGACAAAAAGGTGACAGCAATTTTAGTAGAAGACTTTAATATCCCACTTACATCAATGGACAGATCATCCAGAAAAATCACCAAGGAAACAATGGCTTTGAGTGACACACTGGGAGAGATGGACCAAATCTACATTCAGAACATCTCATCAAAAATAACAGAATACACATTCTTTTCAGATGCACATGGAATATCCTCAAATCATGTTACACTACAAAACAAATCGCAAGTTCAAAATCACTGAAATCATATAATGCATCTTTTCTCACTGCAACACTGAAAACTAGAAGCCAAGGTTAAAAAAATCTGGAAAGAATACAAATACATGGAAGCCAAATAAAATGCTACTAAACAATGAATGAATATGTCAACCAAAAAGTCAAAGAGAAAATTTAAAAAAAAAAACAAAAATGTGGAAACAAATAAATATGAAAACACCATGGTCCAAAGTCTTAAGATTCTTTAAAACCTGTTCTCAGAGGGAAGATTATAGCAATCAGGCCCACCTAAAGCAGCAAGAAAAATCTCAAATAAACAGCCTAACCTTAAACCTTAGGGAGCTAGAAAAAGGAGAGCAAGCAAAACCGAGGAAAGGAAATAATGTAGAGCAAAAATAAATAAAATGGAGACTAAAAAAACAATACATCAATGAAACCAGTAACTGGTTCTTTGAAAAGATAAAACTGATAAACCTTCAGTCAGACTCATTAAAAAAAGAAGACTCAAATAAAATCAGAAATGAAGGAGAAATAACATCTGACACCATGAAACACAACGGATTATAAGAGAATATTAGGAAAAGTTATAACATGCCAACAATTTGGACAACCTACAAGAAAGGAATAAATTCCTAAAAACATAATACCCTTCCAAAATTGAATCAGAAAGAAATAGAAAACTTGAACAGACTGATTACTAGCAATGACCTTGAATCAGCAATCCAAAAATTCCCTTTGTTCATTTGTTTCTTACATTCCACAAATGAGTGAAATCACATGGGATTTTCACTTAGCATAATCTATCTCCATCCATATCACTGCAAATGGCAAGATTTCACTTTTTTTTTTTATGGCTGAGGAGTATTCCATTGCGTGTGTGCACACATATACACATAAACACTACATCTTCCTTATCCATTTATCAGTTGACAGGTTTTGGGTTGTTTCCATAATTTGGCTATTGTAGATAATGCTATAAACATTGGTGTGAATGTATCACTTTTGATTAGTGTTTTTGGATTCTTTAGGTAAATGCCTAGTTGTGCAATTGCTGGAACATATATACACATACACACATGTATGTGATCCAACAATTTGCTCTACATCATACACACACACACAAAGTATATATATGGTTTCTACACACACAGAGATCTGCTGCAGTTTTATATATTAATAAAAGCAGAGAGAGAAATTAAGAAAACAATCCCATTTACAATTGCACCAAAAAGAATAAAATACCTGGGAATAAACTTAACCAAGAGGTAAAAGAAATCAAAGATTCCACA